TAGGGAAAGCAGGCCAAAATAATTTTTTCCCCTCTGGGAAGGGCTTGTGTGCTTTCTGCCACATACCTGCTCCTCAAGAGCTGCTTCCCAGTTTGTTTTTCTCCCCAGTGTGCAGGGTAGAGCTGAAGTCTATCATTGCACCTCTGCACATCTGGGGCTTGCAGTGCTCTGCCCAGTATCAAGAAGGTCTCAGAGGCATTTTAAAGTTGAACTCAGTCTCTGAGTGTGGTGTTGGAGCTGTTGCCTCGTGGTGTCAGCTCTAATACCATGGTTAAGAGCAGTGGGAGGCTGGAGACTCTGATGGCTGGTTAAAGCAGAAGGGCTAGAAGAGAGCAGCTGGCAGGTTTTACTAGTTCCCAGCAAAGCAAGATGGATGTTCTGCTATTGTCAATGACCCTCACAGCACATATCAAGGGACCATGGCCAGGATAACCCACCTGCTGAGATGCTGGGTATGGGCTGTGCTGGGTGGGCCTGTGCCTTGCAGGCTGAGGAGCTGCTACTTACTGTGAAGCTACAGCAGCCTTTGGGCAGATGTTGAAGTGTTTGCTTGAGCTTATGAACCATAAATTCTGTGCACTGAGTCCAAAAAATTAAAAATGTTCCTTTGCGCAGCAAATGAGAGAGACATTTATGCTTTTGTGGGTATTTGGAGTTACTTTTGTATGCAGAAAGGACCCATCAGCTACAGGTGAATATGAGATGCTGAATATGAGTTACAGCTTGTGAGATCCCTGTTGCCTAGGTGGAAAAAATCCTTTATTCTCCCTTTCTTGAGCAAGAAAAAGGTCCTGAAACCTGTAATTCATCTTGTTTCTTTGTTGTCCATTTGAAATGATCTTTTTTCATTCCTGACAGTAGCTTTTGTTACCAAGTTTCTGTGGTAGATAAATGAGTCAGGGTGAGGTAATGTGCTGGTGATGTACATTGCATGCAAACCAAAGAAGGTAATGATCATCTCTCATTTTCTGTGCATAGGGAAATGCAAATGTGAGAATATGAATTGAGGTAAAATGCTGAAACAATACATCTCCTATCAATGAAGAGGAGCGTAGAGAATGCCCTGCTGTAACAAAGGATAATTAGAATCTCATTACCGTAATATTTTACTTCAGAACGTAGGTCAGACAAATTCTTTCTGGTTTATGGTGCATATTTCACTTGTAACAGTATTTGCAACATTATTGCTAATTCATCTTTGCAGAAAATGCCAACATCATTAGAATAAACAAGGCTATTAATACAAGTAAGTTCTATAGTTTGCTGCTACCAGCTGGTGGGGCACAACATGGGAAGCAATGGCTTTCTTTTCATTTCTTTTTACAAACAAAATCCCCAGAACTGTGATCTACACTGTGGGCTCTGTAGATTTGAAAGCTTTGCTGTTGAGCTGAATGACATCTATTAAATATCAGGTTTAAGGATTATTTGTATTTAATGATCTACGTTCTCAAAAGCAGCTTATTACAATACACCACCAGCTCGTGTTCCTTCCTATTCAAAAGCCTATGGGGACCAATGAGGTGTTAGGACATGTATCTTCTGGTTTGAGTTGTTAGGTTTGGGGTGGTTTTGGCAGAGATATCCCCCACCCCTTTTCTGTTTTCCTTGGAACAGGATCATCTCCCACGTGATTGCTGGGTGTGTGTTTGAGTCAAAGGCAGAGGGGCCACGACCTCAGGCCTGGGGAGCTGCTGCCAAGTGTAGTTTAGGAGCAGTCAGAACAAGAAAGCTATTGCTAGTTTAATCTGATCAATTATTATCATTATTTTTTAAATGTACTCTACCTGCACTGGTCAATTATGTTAAAGAGCTGGATGGCTTGAGGTTCTTGTTAAAGGATTGTTCATCATCTCCCTTGTCTCTGAATGCACCTTTGAAGCAAAACATCCTTACTCAAAACCTTAAGCAAATTGCAATTTGCCCTTGTCTTCTAGGCAACTGTGGTAAGTAAACTTTCCATAACCAACAGCAAACAAGCTGTTTCTGAAAAAATAGGGAAAGTAATGCTTGATCTTCCCCCACCTTTTCTTCTTTTCATTTGACTACTTTGAAGTCCCTGGCTTTTTCTGGAGCAATGATTTGGGAAGTTATCCAAATATAGAGGCAGCACAGCTGTGGAGTCCTTTGCAGTGCCCATCATTCTGTCGTAGTCATTAACATACTGGAGAAAGAATCAATTCTGTTAAAAGTCCCACAGCCACTAAAGACACTAAGATGTATTTGGATGTGAGTGGCCTTAGTGACCTATCCCAGGTGAGGACATGTCCTCAGCTTTCACAGGTGGGATGCAGAAGCCTTGTCCTCGTGGTGGTGGCTCCTGTGGGATGGCAGGCACAGGGAGATGCTGCTGAGTTCAAATCTGCTGTGGGAGGGGTATTCAGACAAAAAGGAGTTGCCTGGCTCTGTTGGTGAGAAATGGCAACCGGGACCAGGTCTTCAGTGATGGCAGCATGCAGACCATGCAGGAGAAGTGTTGGCTCATGGCTATCCCACATGTGAAAGATGTTCCCTTGCTCCTCTCTTCATCTTAGGGCTTTCAGTTCTTGTATTGGGCATTTTTCTTCTGCTTCCATGCAAAAGCTTCATACTCTTGCCAAGAAACAGACTCTCCTGGTTGAATTCCCTCTAGATACATCCATTGCAGTTAGCACTTAAGCTCCATCCCTCCCATTTTATTCTGGTTTTAATTAGACTCCTGAACAGGAGCACAGAGCAAACTCTGCTTTCATCTGGGAGATCCTGTGGCTGTGAAATATTTACAGGAAGTAAATAACTGTCAGAAAGTAAATAAGTCCCTGGCTCTACATGAGTGTAAAAGTGCTTTGAAATAGTTTCATTCGAATAAAACCTTCTCATGTTGAGTGGCAGTTAGAAACAGTAACACAGGCAAAAAATTCCCAGTATAGAAGGTAAACACAATTACTAATTCATGGAGCAGTACATCTCACAGTAGCAGCTTTAATATCTTTCTTTTCAGTTTGATGTAAAATAGGCCAGATTAAAAGGAAATTTGGGGTTGGTTTAGTCATCATCTTTTCAGAAAGCAGAGAGCAAACATGGCGAGACACACTGTGCTGCTCCAGTTAGGCTAAATTTAGACTTTGACATCTCCACTTCCAACTGTGGGTAAAGGAATGAAACAAAGCTCAGAGAAGGCAGCAGCTCGTGCAGGTATGGATGGGTCAGGTAGATCACCAAGCTCAAACATCGTCGTTCAGGGTGAGAACCAGGTTGGCTCAGCTCTGTGCGTGGGGCAGAGGCTGGTCCTGCCCCAGGCTTGCTGGTGGGAGCTGGAGTTTTGCAGGTTGCTTTGAAACAGATCCCTGAAGAAGCTCCTCTCTCTTCCAGCTGTTGGTATTATTAGTGCAGTGTCCTACTCCTGGCCTGGGACTCTAGCAGGGACAGGTTAAGTCCAGCCAGCAGCATCCAGCTCAGCCAAGGGAGCTTTGTTCCTTCTGCACTCACAGGAAAAGATTCATCTCTCCTTGTTCTGGTGCCTGTTAGTGGAGGAGGGAGGTGTCTCTCTCTTGCTCTCCCTTTGTTCAATAGAAAGTGAGTTTCATCAAACAGATTATGCTGGATGTCAGACTTCAATTTTGGATTGTTGAAATTGGGGTGAAATTAATCTCAACCAGCACATCCAAGCCTGCCTTAGTCAAAGTCCTTGCACTTAACTCCATAGTGAGCATAAAGTAATAACACTCAGTGTTCTTCCTTTGCTCATTTTCTATGTAAACATTTGTGGCTATGCCCTCGTTAATTTTATTTGCCTTAACCACACTCCATCTGAAGTTTCTCTCTTCTCCTGGTACCAGGACATCCTT